CAAAAAGTGACTGGCTTACAAGCTTTTAAGAGGGAGCCTAGATCCAGAGGGCACAGATGAAGGTAGAATCTCCACTGAGTAGTATCCAATCTGTCTGGGTCGGGCTGATGAAAGGAAATGCGGATAGGTCTCTTGTGATACAATAGTGAATAACTGTTATCAGGACTGACTGTGAGGGTTGGAAATGTAAAGGTAGACGTTTTATAGCAAAAGGAGGGGAGTGGTTGACTTTGCAGTCTAGGAGCAGAGGTCCCTGGGACCATCAAGGGAGAAGAGCAGAGAGCGGGACACTACCCAGAGAAGCAGTGACACCAAAGATGGAGGCAGAGACTATGACGTGGAGAGATGGAGCATCTGGGGACTTTAGACCCAGAGAGGGAGAGAGGCTGTGTGCTAACCGCTTGTAGGATATATCCTTTGGTTGGTTGATGATGCACGGAGGGGACTGTAACCATGGCAATGAAATGATATACGATAGGATGAATGTAAAGCTAATATTCTCCCATATAAACTGTCACATAATTTACAATAAAACATTACCAAAAAAAAAGGGTCAAAAAAACAAAGAAAGAGAGAGAGAGAGAGAGAGAAAGCCTAAGAGCAGACGACATTTGAACTGGGCTTTAAAAGATGAGTAAGAATTACCTTTCTGGTTTTGGAGTGAGAGAAAGGGGAAAGAAGAGCATTTGGAGAAGCCTGTGCATAAGCAGAGAATCTTGGGTGAGAGGTTTGGGCAATGAAACCCTAGCTGTGGGCCTTGAGAAAGTAAGGAAGGTCTAGGAGGAAGCCCAGCTTTCTGGCTTAGGGCAGTGTGTAAATGCTGGTTCCTTTCATCAAGTTAGGAATAAGTGAAGCTTGAATTTAGGAAACAAGGCATTCAGTTGGGACTCAGTCTTAATAAGTAGGATTTCATGTCTGACATTAAAAGTGATATAAGCTTACAGTATATTATAGTATATTATTGCTACATGCCACTGAGTAGGCTTAACGCATAGTGACCCTAGTAGGGTTTCCAAGAACGGTTGGTGGATTTGAACTGCCGACCTTACAGTTAACAGTCCAGTGCTTATGCTACAGCATCATACCAGGACTGCCATTACTATTCTGTTTCATGAGCAACATGTAAAACGCTCTGTGTACAGAACTTTAGGGTTCTATATCTGCTAACTATGAACCATCAGTTATTGTCTGGCCTCTGAGTTACAAAGTCAACTTCCAGGGTATTATTAAATTTTATGACCTAGTAGCGAAGACAATTCTGTGTGATATAAGAAGCAATAACAATGATAATAATAATGAGCATTTAGCTCAGGCCATGGAGAGAGTGTTCAAGCTGAGCCTTGAAGGTTGGAGAGGAGGTAGGGATACAATGGAAGAAAAGCAAGAAAGGTGCAGAACACAAACTAGCAAAGCAGAAAGCACAAACCAGATGGAGCAAAAAGAGATGAAAGTTGACTAGTAAAAACAGAAGAGAAATCTGAAGTGGGGTGCTGTACAAGAAACTACAAAGGGAAAAAGTATTTCACAAGGGTTTTTCCAAGAAATAACCATCCTGGAAAAGTGAGAGAAGCAGTGATGTGATGAGTATTGAAATTCACATGGTGAGAATTTGCATCATCTGAAGGAAATTAATTCAATACCCATGTATCTGCTAGAGTTTTTCTTTAGCCTTTCTCCAAATTATAAAATCCGAATGAATCTCACCACAAAGAAGCTGTGCAACTAGCACAGAATTAAAACAACAACAAAAAATAGTACTGTATTGAGACAGGATCCGTTTCATTGTGGTTATAAACCCAAATCTCAGTGACTTAATACAAAGTTTGTCTTTTTCCTGTCATGTTCGTAGGACTCTGCTTTAAAGCACGCTGGCAGGCACCATCAACCTGTAACTACACTATCTGGGAGGTGAGCCCATCCGGGTCACTGTAGCAAGGATAAAGTCCACTGGAAGAGATTCCATGCCAGCTCTTGTATACTTTGGCCCAGGAAGTGACACTTCACTTCTACCCACACCCTGTTCCCAGAATTGGTCACATGGTGTACAAAATCACAAAGAGATTGAGAAGAATAGTCTGGCATATGCCCAGATGGGGAAGAAAACCAGGTACTGGCTAAGAGTTGTGATGCCTGACCTACAAAGGAGCTACTTGTATAATTCAAACTCTGAGACTTCCTGCCATCTTACATGCAGCATATTGTTGTTGTGTGCCATCAAGTCGGTTCTGACTCACAGTGACCCTGTACAGGGTTGACCTTATGAACTGTTGACCTTATGGTTAGCAGTCCACTGCTTATCCTACAGCACCATACCAGGGTCCCTGTGTAGCATACAGATCTCTATTCTATCCAAGTATTCTATCTCCTTCATTTAAACCATATGTACCACTACTACCAAACCTACATACAAATCCCTGAACATACCAAGTTACTATTAAGCACCTTATATCTCTGCTTCATCATGCATGTCCATCTCTTAGGACGTAACCTGCCGGATTACTTCCTCCTTGAAACCTTTCTGTACCATCTCTCACATGGGGCTATGAAACTCTTGTTGTGTCCTCATTAGAAATATTCTATTAGTTTATCAAAACGGGTCATTTACATATCCCATCTCCACTAAGGAGACCTGCTGGTGTAGTGGGCTCCATGCTGGGCTGTTAACTGAAGGGTCAACAGTTTGAAGGCACCACAGGAGAAAGAGGAGGCGGTTCACTCCCATAAAGATTTAGAGTCTCAGAAACCCTAGGGAGTAGAGTCCTATGGTCCTGTAGGGTCACTGTGAGTTGAGTGGCTTTGGTTTTTGGTTGTCTCTTCTAAGCTGCAACTCTTAAAGGTCAGTGCTTGACTCACTATCCCATTCATGTATTAAAAAAATATTTTCCACGACATACTGTCAACAGACTGACTGCTCAGGTTTGAATCCTGGACCTCTCACTTTTGTGACCAGTTAATCTATACAACATTCTCTATGGAGTCATGGTTTCCTCATCTGTACCAGAACTGTTATGAGGATTAAATTAGATAGTGTGACATAAGCTTTATGCACAGTGTCTGGCACAAAGAGGAAACAATGTGGAGTGCTGTTGAGTCGGTTCTGACTCATAGTAACCCTGTATTCGAGGAGCAGCTGGTGAGTTTGAACTGCCGATCCAGTACTTATCCTACAGAATCACAAAATCAAACAGCAGTTATAAATTCACAAAACTGCATTAGGTGCTTGGTACGGCGTTACCAATAGAAACAGTTTCCTTCTTCTAAAGTCTTTGCCATAATCAAACCCACTGCCATCAATTCTGACTCGGAGAGACCCTGAGCACACAAGAGAACTGTCCCATAGGGTTTCCAAAACTGCCGTCTTTGCAGCCACTATGCCAATCTATCTCACTGAAAGCCTTCCTATTTTTCACTGACCTTTTACTTGACATTGGCCTTGACAATGGGCTCAAACACAGCAACACCTGTGAGGATGGCACAGGACCAGGCAGTGTTCCCTCTGGAGTCCCTATGAGTCAGAATGGACTCAACAGCACCTAACACTAAAGGACATCTTTAAGGAACAGCCTGCCATGGCTTTCTCCCACAGAGTGGCTGGTGGATTTGATGGCCAACCTTTTGGCTAGCTAGCAGGCGACCTCTCCCTCCATCACTATGTTCCCATGCTTCTTCTTTACAATTTGCCATGTAGAGGAAAAGACGGGACCCAACTCCATAAGTAAGCTTTACATACAGGATAGGACTTTAACACATACCATCATTTACTATCATTAAAATTTAGTAGTATTAAAAAAGGGTAGATCCATTTTACTTGCTTCCTGAAACTGGAGTTAGGCACCTATTATGGTAGGTTTTCATGTATGAACAAAAGAAAGAAAATAAAAATGGCAGTGGGAAAGTTACCATTTAGCCAAGATGATATTTTTATATAGTCAAAAATTACAAAAGATTAGATAAATGATGAACATGGAAATAATGAAAGTGATATTCATCTTTCATTTGTACAAAAAAAAGAAAAAATTCTCCAGAAAAGGGAATGGACTATAGAATTCAGGAATAAGTGACGCAGCACACCGGATCAGACCTGAATACTTTATTACAAGACAGACTTTTACTCTAACCCGGTTAACAAGAGGTAGGGAGCTTCACTGTGATGAGAGCTCTTCACCTTCCCTTTCACAGTAAGGGAGGAAACAGTAAGGGAATAAGAGAGTTGAAAGAAGAAAAACAAAACAAAAGGGCTGGGGAGACATTTAAATGTCTGGGGGAAGTGGGACAATAACAATCCAAATAGACAGATAGGCTTAATTTGCTTTTATATAGGAAGTTGCTTTGTTATTTATATAAGCAATATAAAAAGGGAACTCACTTTTTAAAATTGAATAAAAAGTGTTGGAAATTTTTGGCCAATTCTGGTCTTAATTACAAGGTAATGTTTCCTTATTAGAAAAAATCAGTTCCTCTCATAGCTCTACATTAATGAACACAATTTATTTAATAGTCACATATCATATCATAGACTTAAATTTGGATTTCCTCTTAGCTGATAGTAATCACAAGCAGAGTGTAAAATGGGGATCTATGTATCTTAGCAGGAAATTGAGGCAATGACTTCTAAAAATTAACTTCAAATACACTCTTACCAAACTGAAGAGGATTCCTTCATAGCCCAAGGAAAAAGTACGTTAACTCAAACTTTTAACAAGTTACTAAAATAAAACATAAACTATAACTTAAAAAGCATTTGAGCAAGATCCAAATATACTTATTATTAAATATAAAGATGTTAGCTCTCTGGCACATAAGAAAATATCTATAACTAATAAAAAGCAGATTTGAGAATATACATGTTCTGTGTATAAAAATAATGAAAACATTTTATAGTCTAGACCAAGGGATCTTTCCTAACTCAGGCTTTATCCATGCAATTTTATTACCCCAGCATCTCACGAACATCACTGGAACACATACAAGCATGGATGAACTCTAACAGCAACGTTGATTTAAAGCTCATACTGCCTTCTGAGGGCCTGTAAATCTTCTACAGTAAACTGATTACTTGACGTGTTTAAAAGGCCATCAAATAGCTGTTCAATTTGCTCCTTTTGATTCTTGCTGGTTAGTGTCAACATCATCTAAAAGAAGGAGAAAATTTATACTAGGATACATCATGAACATTTTAAAGTTATAAGAAAAAAAAAAATTCCATCCTCTATTTATAAACATTTTTGCCACTTACCTTAAACCTTTCTGCTTTACTCAAATATAAAAGATGCTGGTATGCCAGTGAGGGATCTTTATCAAAAAGATTATTTTTCAGAGACTGAATGAGGAGGAGGAATGTGTCCCCTTCAAGTTTGTTACTCAACAACACTGGCAGATCTTTCGGTTCAGTGATGGCCAAAAGCTCCGCACAAGCTTCTAAATCTTTCTGAGTATTTATAGCATTCATAACTTGACCAAATTCATAGGCATTATTAGGTTTGCAGATCTGTAGCTTTTCACAGAGTTCTGGGGGCCCAGCGCTTTCATTTCCCTTTTCAGAAGCAAGGCAGTCAGTGGCACCCTTGGGTGAAGCTCGTCCAGTTACCTCTCCGCTGCCTTCATTCACCTTCATGAGGAAAACATTACACTGTGACATTGAGCACCATCTGCTGTCCACATCAGAAGTTACACCCATCAAAATGGCAGTTTTAAACACAGAACACATCCTATTTTAGTTAAATACTAGGTGAAAAATCTGTAATTTCAGTGCATTGTAAAACCTGTAATTTTTTGATAAATTTTAATGTATAGCATAATTCAGAAGAGTATTCTTTTAGAAAGCTTTTTTAATTGCATGGTAAAAATGACAAATATACTTCTATAATTTTCCATACACTAAGCTACATTATCAAATTTTAAAAGACCTAAAACAAATGTATCTATTTCATGATGCAATTTATATTCATTCATTTCCTTACATTTAACAGAGAACTGAGTTTACATTTTTTTCAGTTCTCTATTACAATTTTTCTTCCCTTCTTAGTGAGGGGAAGAAAAAAAAAATCTCCTAGCTTCTCTTCACATGTTAGCCTCATACTGGAGATTTCAAACTACAAGTAGGATGATATTGGCATTCATGAATTCATGAGTTGGCATTCTGCAATAAAGGTAAAGTTTAAAAAAGCTGCAACTTAAGAAATATGAGGCAACTGAAATTACATAGGCAGGTTTGTTTCTGAAATAGACCAGTCTTCTTTTAGAACGCTAAAAAGGTTTTGAGTCAATCTGGAAAACTGTCCATGGAATATGGCTTATAAAACGACTGAAATAGACCAGATACTAAAGATCTACCCTCCTAAAGCAAACCTCTTAGGCATACGCTTCGAGATAAACCTGGAGTCGAAGCAATACAAATCACAAGCAGGACAGTGGGTTGGGAGGGTAGGGTATAGACAGGAAGAACTTTATAATAATGTGGAAACTCCAATTATCATCCATGTGCCCATGTTGAGAAGTACACTGGCTAATTATCACTGCAAAGGAGAAATTCTGTCTTTATAACTAGCTAAAACTTTTTTATTAATCATAAGAATGAAAATACTAAGTTAAAGATTCGCAGGACTCATGGGAATATAGCCTTAAAATTGAGTGTAAGATCTCCAAGAGTACTTTCAAAAGTAATCAAATACAAATACCTCTTGAATCTCAATTTTCCGTCTCTCCTTTTCTTTGTTGAATGACGCTGTATTATCCTTAATATTAAGAAATCTGGTTACCTCTTCCAGTTCCATCTTTGCCTCAACAATACTTGGGTCTAGTAGGAGTACTTTATTGAGATCATTTAAGCTTTTCTGATAATTCTGAAAGGGGGAAAATAGAAAATAATTCTCAGAAGTGAGAAATGGCATAGATCACCCCCCTGGGGGTGGGAGGCAACCTAAGTCACACATGCACTGGACCCCCACGACCATTATGTTATACCATTATGCCAATATCACCACTATTATAAATGCAGGCCTGGGGAGTCAGTGTCGAGTCAAAATATTACAAGAGTGAGTAAGAAATTATCCGCACTCGTTACATTCAAACTCCTGTCCATATCCACAGCTGAGGACAACACTGAGGGCGCATGTGAAATGTTCTATTGACTACAGGAGTGATAGTGGATTATGTGGCAAATCATTTACAAAGAAGTAACATCTTTGCCTATGAAATAATCCAAACAGACTTGGGTTTTGAAAAGTTTGTGCAAGATGGGCACTGAAACAACTCACCAAAGAGCATAAACAGTAGCGTTTGGACAAATTTTGGACAAAAACAAAATTTGGACAATACTCAAAGGAAGGTAAAAGTATCTTTAAAAAAATTCGTTACTGGAGCCAAGATATGGATTCATCACTAGGAGCCTGAGAGCAAACAGCAGAGTATGGAATGGAACCATCCTTAATCACCAACCAAGAAAAAGTTCAAAAGTCAATCAACAGCTGGAAGATAGATGCTTACAGTTTTCTGGGATTTTCAAGGGCCAGTATTGGGACACTATCAGGAAATAGGTTCAACAACCAACAGTACTCATTACAGTCAGATGCTCACTGAAGAGTTGACACCTAAACTTTGGATTAAATGCAGAGAACTGCTAGCCAAGGACATTGGGATCTTGCATAACAAGGCACAAGCCCACACTGTTGACACACTGCAGAAACTTAGTTTTGAGATGTTAAAGCATCCTCTCTAGAGTCCTGATCTTCTCCAAAGGAGTTTTACCTGTTTGGTCCCCTGAAAGCAGCCCTTCAAAAATGAAGATTCACCTCTGATGAAGAAGTGAAGACATCAGTGCATTTGTGACTCACAACTTTATAAAGTTTCTTTATAAAGGAATATGAAAGACTGTTTATAGATGGAAAAGTGTATTGAAAAGCAAGGAGATTATATTGAAAAATAATGTTATTTGTCTTTTTAAAAAGTTGGTTAAAATACAGCAACAACAGAGATGGAGGCAGAGATGATGACATGGAGAAAGAGAGCAGAGCTGAGGACTCTAGACTCATGGAAAGAGAAAGGCTGTGTGCTGGTGGCCAGGAGGCAGGCTTGCAGAATGTGCCCTTTAGTTGTTTAAATGATTATATATTTCTAAGCGTTTTTGTTTAATATCCAAAAAAACCACAACAGGGGGAACAGAAGCAATTACAGTTGAATGATGATGCACAGAGGGGATTGTAATCATTGCAATGAAACGAAATACTATAGGATGAGTGTAAAACTGATGTTCTCCCATGTAAACTATCACTCAATTCACAATTTTTAAAAAAAGATCAAAATAAATTCTATAGCCAGAGTACAGATAATTTTTGACTCACTCTCATATAATCTATACGCCAGTGAGCATCCACCACTCAAGAACTAAAAGCACAAAATCTGGAGTTAGAAGACTCAAATTCAATTCTGTATCTCCACAGCCTTCATGGTCTCTCACACATGGTAAAAGGCAAACCCACTGCCACTGAGTCGATTCCAACTAGTATCACCCCCAAGAGGACAGAGCAGAACTGATCCATACAGTCTCCGAGACTGCAGATCTTTATAGGAGGAGATAGCTTCATCTTTTCCCTGTGGAGCGGCTGGTAGGTTTAAACCCAATGCTTAGCCCACGTGGCTATTGGTAAGTGTTGTTCAATTATGACTCATAGTGACCTTGTATAGGGTTTCCAAAGCTGTAAATCTTTGCAAGAACAGAAAGCTTTATCTTTCTCTCGCAGAGCAGCTGGTGGGCTTGAAATACCAACCTTGTGGTTCCAGGGTTGACTCTACGGAGGCACCAAGTTCCCATTTCACATGGTTGTTGTTAAATAATATAGAGTCAGTTTCGACTCACGGGGACCCTGAAGATTCTACTTTTACTTTCTGATCTTTAGTTTTCTCATCTTTAAAATAAGCATAATAAGAGCTTCCTACTTTAGCTTTTCCACGCTTGTCGGTCAGTTTGTTGTACTGTAGTGACTGGCATGTTGCTGTAATAGTGGAGGCTACGTCACCGGTATTTTAAATACCAGCAGGTTTCAGCTGAGCTTCCAGACTAAAACAGACTAGAAAGAAGGAGAGATGGACTACTTCTAAATATGAAGTCACTGAAAACCTTATGAACAGCAGTAGAACACTGTCAGACAGCACAGAACACTGACTACTGAAACATGACGAAGAGCACCAGAATCCTGTCAAATATAGTGCTGGAAAATGAGCCCCTCAGGTTGGAAGGTACTCAAAATATGACTGGGGAAGAGCTGCCTCCTCAGAGTGGAGCTGACTGTGATGACACAAATGGAATGAAGCTTTCAGGGCCTTCGCTTGCTGATGGGGCACAACTCAACATGAAGAGAAACCGCTGTAAACATCCATTAACCAGAATATGGAATGTAAGAAGTGTGACACTAGGAAAACTGCAAGTTGTCAAAATGAAATGGAATGCATAAACATCAATATACTAGGCATTAGTGAGGTGATATGGACCGGTATTGGCCATTTTGAATCTGACAATCACATGGTTTACTATATCAGGAATGACAAATTGAAGAGGAATGGCATCACATTCATCATGAAAAAAGAACATTTTAAGGTCTATCTTAAATTACAATGCTGTCTGTGACAGAATAATATCCATATGGCTACAAGGAAGATCAGTTAATACAACTATTACTCAAATGTACGCACCAACCACTAAAGCCAGTGAGGATGAAATTGAAGAATTCTATCAACTTTTCAGTTTGAAATTGATCAAACATGCAATCAAGATGTATTGATGAGTATTGGCAACTCAAATGCAAAGGTTGGAAGCAAAGAAGGATCAATAGCTGGAAAATACGGCCTTGGTGATAGAAACGATGCTAGAGATCGCATGATAGAATTTTGTAAGGCCAATTGACTTCTCCACTGCAAATACCTTCCCCCTCCCCCCGCCCCAATTTCCAAGTATTTATTAGAAAGTAATTTTGTTTTCTTGATAAAAGAAATGTTCAATGATGGTTACCAGAGGAAGATGGGGAAATTATTCACGGACTAGAAGGTAGAAACATGTTAACATGGGTGACAGGACAGGCAATATACAGGTGAAGGCAGTAGGAGACGCAGGGAGGAATGCCACAGTCAAAGGCTATAGAGGCAAATACTCTTAACTGATGGTATGTGGAAGGGACTGAAATCACTGTAATGAAGCAAAGTATGTGATTACTTGAATGTAAAATTGATGTTCTGCTCTGTAAACCTTCACTCAATCCACAATAAAAAGTTTTTAAAAACTAGTAATTTTGTTTTTGTTTTTTTGTTTTTTTTGCACTGTAATTTTGAATCCTGGGTCTTTGCTAAAATCACTTATTAGCAGTAGTAACTTTTGTAAAGGATTTTTTGGGACATTTAGACAACTTTATTTTCTCTTTTTCCATCTGTATGCCTGTTACTTCTTTTTCTGCATTACTGCATTATCCGGGCCTTCTGGGGTGATGTTGTCTAGAAGTGGTGAGAGCGGCCCTTCTTGCCTTATTCCTAATTTACGATGTCAGCTATAGGGTTTTTGTAGATGTTCTTTATCAGGTTGTGAACATTATTTCTAATGTGCGAAGACTTTTTTTTAATCAGAAATTGATGTAAAATTCTAAACAGCTTTTTTTAAACAACCCAAAAGATGACTATATACATGGGCCTCATCAGAGGAAATACACAGAAATCAAACTGACTGTATCTGTGGGAAGAAGACAATGGAAAAGCTCAAAATCATCAGCCAAAATAAGACCAGGGGCAGACTTTGGAAAATACCATCAAATACCCTTATACAAGTTCAGACTTAAGCTGAAGAAAATTAAACAAGTAGTTTAATTAAATGCACTTGTTCAAACAGAACAAGGGGACACTGAAAATTTTCAACCAGGAAAGGTGTGTGTCAGGGTTGTATTCTTTCATCATACTTATTCAATCTGTATGCTGAGCAAATAATCTGAGAAGCTGGGTTCTATGAAGAAAAACGTAGCATCAGGATTGGAGGAAGACTCATTAACAACCTGCGATATGCAGATGATTCAAGCTTGCTTGCTGAAAGTGAAGAGGACTTAAAACATTTACTGATGAAGATCAAAGACCACAGCCTCTGGTATGGCTTGCACCTCAATGTAAAAAAAAACAAAAGTACTCACAACTGCACCAATAAATAACATCAAGATGAATGGAGAAAAGACTGAATTTGCTGAAGACTTCATTTTGCTCAGATCAACCATCAACACTCATGGAAGCAGCAGTCAAGAAATTAAACAAAGTATTAGGCAAGTCTGCTAGACAAGACCTCTTTAAAGTGTTCATGAGCAAAGACATTAGTTTGAGGACTAAGGTGTGCCTAATCCAAACTATGGTATCTTCAATAGCCTCATTATGCATGTGAAAGTTGGACAATGTATAAGGAAGAACAGAGAAGAATTGATGCATTTGAATAATGGTGTTGGAGGAGAATATTAAAAGTACCACGGGCTGCCAGAAGAACAAACAAATCTGTGTTGAAATACAGCCAGAATGCTCCTTAGAAGCGAAGCTGGCCAGACTTCGTGTCTCATACTTCAGACGTATGAGGGTCCAGTCCCTGGAGAATGAAATCATGCTTGGTAAAGTGGAGAGTCAGTTAAAAAAAGAGGAAGACCCCCAATGAGATGGATTGGCACAGTGACAGGAACAATGGGCTCAAAAGTAGCAATGATGGTGAGGATGGTGCAGGACCAGGGAGTGTAGGAAGTTGCTATGAGTTGGTTCTGACTCAATGGCACTTCACAACAACAATGATTCTGAGCTCTGGTGGTGTAGTGGGTTACTTGTTGGGGTGCTAACTGCA